TTCGAGAGTCTTTGAGTCTTATTTCCGACCCGGACAATTTTAGGGGTCTACAAGTATTATTATGCCTGGCCTCTCCAGGCTGCCTGCTGAATGGTGAGTATTATTATGCCTGGCCTCTCCAGGCTGCCTGCTGAATGGTGAGTATTATTATGCCTGGCCTCTCCAGGCTGCCTGCTGAATGGTGAGTATTATTATGCCTGGCCTCTCTAGGCTGCCTGTTGAATGGTGAGTATTATTATGCCTAGCCTCTCTAGGCTGCCTGCTGATGCTGATGATGTGATTTCCGCTTTTCTTTGGGAGGACGTCTGATGAAGACGATGATTGCTGGTAGGTGGTGCCCTTGTGATGGTGGGCAAAGGAGTAAATGGGTGACAGGAGTTCTGGTACTGCCCCTACCATGTGAGTATTGTGATGCCTCTCCAAGCGCGTGCTTGTGGTAGGTTTTTTTTTCTGAATTTCATTTTTTGTTTAGCTTCAGCTCTTTTATGTTTGAAGCTTGCCTTTTTTTTCTATTTTTCTAAATGCTTCGGCTTTTTCAACATTTATGAAGCTTTCCTCTTTCTCATGTTGTTTTTGCTTTCTTATTGTCATCATTGGTGGAGGGATCTATTCCCATGATGTTATTTGTTGAATCTTTATTAATGAGTATTATTTTGGAAGCCACTCCTGGCTTTGGTTAGGAAGTCATTCTTGGTCTTGGCATTCTCTTAGATCATCCTTCATTCGGTTGAGGAGTAGGGCGCGATGGCCTTTTCATGCTTATAGACTTGCTTATTCTTCCTTTTTCCGTTCTATCCCGTCTTGCTATTGACGTGTCTTTCTTCTTTGGGTGGCTATATAAAACCACTTGTATGGAATGCCCTTGTTGGGGCTAGGCTTCTTGACATGATCTTGGCTCTTAAGGCACTGTTTAGCTGTTGATCTTTTTGTACAAGTGCTTCGGCCTCTTGATTCCTCCAACAAGTGATGGATAGACACACACAAAGAATGCAAGAATGCAAAAGAAATTGTAAAGCAGAAATGGATTGGATTTTTTTTATAAAAAAAAAATTGTGAACTTATACCCTTTTGTGCACACTTGTGCCATATGCATGCTATGCAATAATGCTTTTATGCTAATTCTTAAAATGCAAATTCATTTTTACTTTCAAGAAATTAATCTATGCGCATTGATCAATGACATGGATTGTTAGCCTTTAGCCGTGTCGAATTTAGTGTTGCTTCTTGAACTTGAGGTTTGTGTAGTTCGGCTTTCTCGCTTGTAACGAATATGATATGTTAGCCCTTATTTGATTTCATTGGCAGCCACCTTCTTTGACTTTTCAACAACCAGAATAATAACAATTAAACAGAAGCAAAACTGAATCTCCTTTTTCCCTATAGAAATAATAATAGGCTCTGAAAACAACAAGATAAACTCAGCAGATGCACAAAATAGAAAAATAGAAATCAACGGACACCAAATTTTTAACGTGAAAAAACCCTCAATGTGAGGTAAAAACCCATGAAACCTAGTTCAGTAAAAACTCCCCTAATAATAATCAATAGATACATCACAAGTCCTTCTAGAATTACTAGGGATCACTCTCACTAATATAGTGGATAACAATAGAAGAAAATTCTCAAATAGGTATCTAATCAAACAATAGAGAATCAAAATACATAGAAATTGGTACCAACCACTTCTTCTCCAAAGTTGGTTGCTCCACTCCTTCTCACAAAATTTTTCTTCTTCTCTCTCTTTCACAAAGAGGCACAAAGCACGCAGACACACGAGTCTATGATTTCTCCTTCTTCTGAAAGGTTGATCCCATATACCAAGACTCATTACACCTGATGCTAATACAATTAGTATATTGAGTTTTTTTTTTATTTTGTATTTTTAAATCAACGTGAGCCCAAATAAATTGGTGATGCACTTGACACCCATGGTTATCAACTTTGCAACAGTTGCAAAATTTGTAGTCAATTCCACAAGTCTAAGTGAAACACTTTACCAATAACCGAGCTTTATACAATTATGCCTTTCAATTGATCCACCTGCCTATACATAATTGTGAATACCAATTTTCTTCCCATGGCTGTCTTTCCTCTAGAAAATTCACCATTTTCCAAGTTTGCTATTTTTTAAGTGTTCTCATCTCCTCTAAGACAACCTCCTTTCATTTTGGAACCTTTAGAGCAGCCTGTATATCCTTAGGAATTTTTATTTTTGTCAGTTCAGAAGAGAAGGCATGAAAGACAGGGGATAAATTCTCATGAGACACAAAATTAAACATAGGATATTTGGTACATGACCTTACACCTTTACAAGTGGCAATGGGGAGATTTGAATCATGAGTGTTTCAACATTTGGATCAGAGGTAGACTGAACATGCTGTACATGTTTAGAAATGACATTGCCTGATGGGTTTTCAAATTCATGGTAGTGTTGAGGTTCATTCAATTCCATAGCACTAGTTGGCTCCATTCTATGAGTGATTTTTCTCCTTGATGATACAAAATCAATGGGTTTTAGACCCTTGGTCATTGTAACTGTCTTATTCTTGTCTGTTTCAATAACTTCAGTATCTGGTATAGCCTGCAATTCTTGGTTGCCAGCTTCATTTGACAGAGCTTCAGCTGCCATTCTTTTTAATCAATGCCAAATCTTCATGTTCTATCATGAATTTTCTGCTTCCAAATGTTGCAGAAGAGCTTGTTGTGGGGTTTGGAACTCCTTTGTTCTCCCATACATGTTTTTGTTGTCACCATTTTCACCGTGGTGCGTCCATTCCTGGATTGGAGCTTCACAGCTTTAGCATGTAGCTTTAAGAAGAAATGATAATTCTTATTTCATTGATTAGTTGAAGTTACAGAGAATGATATAACAAGGTAAAGTTGGTTAGGGAATCAAATTACATTCAAATTAATAGATAAGGGGAAAAAAGATAAGGCTAAGATGAATCTGATCTTATTCTAGCCGAAGTTTCTATAAGAATTATTTAAATTTTGAAAAGTAAAAATTCCCAAGTCCTCACAACTTTGACACCCCCTCAAGTTGATGCACACACAACAGCTTAATTCTTTAATGGAAATATTGATTACTTCTTGTTTCTTTTCTGTTCATATGGCTTCCATAGAGGGACTTAAAGCAACTTGAAGTCACACTTTCTGTCAGAAAATTAGAAGATACGGAAAAATCTTCTTACGACACTCAAGCAAACAGAGAAGTTGGATCATCGTCATCATTATCTAATATCCATCGGTATATTTCATTTTCACCTTAAGCTTTTGTTTGGGAATGCTAGGTATGTTAATCCTATTGTTTTAGTTATGTATCTTTAGCTTTATGAGTTATTTTTTTAAAATACCTTTTTAGCTGTTAAAGTGAGAGAAACAGTGATCGAAAATGTCATGAATTCTTTCTCCATCTCTTGGGTTTATCTCCTTCTACTAACAGCCATAAATCATTGGGGTTTTTCATGATTGTTAGTTCTTTTCCTCAATGATTTTTTGTTATACTACATTTTTTGGGGTTTCCGTTGCTTAAAGTACTAGCAATTTGTTTTTTGGGGTGGTATTGGTGGTGTTAGTTAAACTTTCTTGTAATTTCTATAAATTTTGGTGTACTTTTTAACCTCCAGCTTCTTGTATGGTTTAGGTTGAAACAAGGAAATGTGTCATTTAATTACAGGTATTACGTTTTTGCTTCTTTGTGATATGATATTTTTCACAAGTTCTTTGTGGGGATGTTTTCTACTTCATTTTTGGCCCCTTTTGGCATTTTTTGCTGATACAAGAAATGATTATCAATTGATCATGCTGCTCTGTATTCTTTTGTTTTAATTATTTTTTATTAAAAATATTACAGGTATTACAATAATACGTTGCAGAAAGTGGAAGGTAATTTAAATATTGCTCTTAGTCTTTCTCTTGTATTTGGTCTTTCCTACAAGGGTTGCTGAGCTCTAGGTGGTTCTATTTCTCGAGGTTTAGGTGGGTTTATTTGTAACAAGCGGAGAGCTTAATAGCTTTAGCTTAGGGGGATATTTAGAGTATTAACATTTATATAGGAATATTCACATTATAGTCAATTATATTTATGTTGATTTGATTAGAATAATTAGTTACTGGTTCATTGGCCGAGGATTAGTTTTTGCCACCTGAGATTACTCTATAACTGATAGTTAACTCTTTTTTTCTCTTCTAAATATCAATGTTTACTGGCAATCAGTTTATATAGTAACTGAAAGCTTGGATTGCAGTTACGGAAGATTTCTCTTGTCCATTTTGTTTGGTTAAATGTGCAACATTCAAGGTTAAATTTACTTCTGACTACCGATTTAAAGCTCTATGTTTATCAATATGATAATATGAACCTGTTTTTAATGTTTCCGACATGACCTGTTTTAGGGCTTACGATGCCACCTATCAATGTCGCATGACCATTTTAATTATGAATTTTTGGTCAGTAATCTTCAAAACTCTTGCTAGCTTTCTAATCACTTTTGTAGTAAGCCATGGATTCAAGTATAAATTACTTTGCAGGAATTGGAGGATATTCCATCTGTAAATGTGTCCGTGAAAACCAATATTTGGAAACCTGAGGTCAGAACAGTTTGCCCTCAATTTTATTTTTGTATTTAATTTTTGTAAATATACTAAGCATATACTAATGCTTCTTAATATCCAATTGGTTATAACTTGTTTGTTTATTGGTGCCTTATTCTTGAAAATATTAATCTTACTCTTTCATTCAGGACCTCATGTGTTGGGGCTTTAGATTCTATGATTTGAGGCTTGTTTTTTTTATTTTTTATTCTATTCATCTGTGTCCATACTTTTTATGAAAAGAAATTTGTTGAGAAAGAAAAGAGAGAAAAGTGCTTTCATTATTTTCTAAGCTCCTACACCTTGAATAGGGAAATATAATCGTTTTTGGCCCTTTGGTGCATGGCATATGATTTCTTGATTGGGCTTTCCCTGGCAGATATGTGAAATGATCGCAGAGAGCTCTATTGTTTCAACATGTTTGTCTTCATTTTTTTTTTTATTGTACCTTTGTTATTTCTTATCGTTCTCTTTTAATATTACTCCTTCGATCTCTTTCTAATATTATTTCTTTTATCTAAAACATAAAATATCTATTTTGATTTTCAGCTCAAGTAATGTGTAATTTTAGTTAAAGATAGTTTTATTGTAAGCATGCTCTTTGCCCATGTTTAGCGGCTTTTCACATAGTGTGCATTGTAAAGGTCATTTATGTCTCTTTCCTGTTGAACTTGAGATTTGTTGCTCTGTGCAAGAGATGAAGTCCAATAGCTACAATATTGTTGCTCTGTTACGTAATAGCTTAATCTTGAAGTATGCTCGTTTCCTTTTGATGATATTAGTCTTGTATACAGCATCTTCCTAGAAACATGGAAGCATGAGAAAATTGCTTAAAGTTTTAGCAATAATTCATTTGGAATTTTATGTTTGTTGCTGAAACTTAATAATCAATTTCCCTCCAGATTATTGGAGATGGAGTTGACCCGAGAATTCAAACTTATATCTTTTGGTAAGCTATTTTATTTTGACACTCTTCTGAATATTCTCAGCCCCTCATATGAATACATATTATGAAGTAAAATTGTCTACTAATAATGTCTACATGCAGTGCCAAGCGACCTAAGCGCAGAGACCAATCACTCTTAGAATCTGAAATTCTTGCCAGCGATACTGAGCTTTTGGAGAAACATGATGGTGTGTAACTTACTGCAACTTTATCAAGTATTTTAGTTGGTGATATAATTTATGTTCTACACAGCCAGCAAAATTTTACAAAATTCCAGTTAGAATTTGACATAATTCAATAGTGGTTGTTGGACATGTCAATGTGGTGGGCGGTGGCCGTGGGGATCTCCAATCTTCCTAGGAAATAATAACAATGCCAACTCAGTGTGGCCAAAAACAAAATCTAGCTATTGAATATTTCCCACCACATGTTGAAGGGGCCTTTATGTAGTTGTATGCAAATTACTCCTCTGCACAACGGTAGAAGGCTAAGGATATAAAGCATGAAAAATTAAGGCCTTCTTTTTATTATTTAAGGGTAGAAACTTCTAAATTTGGGTAAAATTCAGGGTAGAAATTGCTAGTTTTTAGGGTTTTATTGAACTATTGTTTTCAAACAGGGTATATATATAACAGTCCGATTCACCTTGAAAACCTAGGTCTGCCTTAGTGCTTCCTCTTCATTAAGGAAAAAAAAAGAAGAAGAAGCAAACATAGAGGAGGTCAATCTCCTAATTGCATAGCTGTGATTTGAGATCTGATCTGGTCCAGAGGAGTGTGATGTCAACCTGGGCAATATAATTCCATGAAATCTCTTGAAGCATTGTGTTCTGGAAAATTTGTAGAAAATCGCCAGAGCCAATGATCATGACCAAATGAGTTGTCTGGTTCTGACTAGTCTCTCTGCCGTCAATAACTTGGATTCAAGATCTTTGATGTCTGTTCTGAGGTTGGGCAGTCACTTAGAGAAAGGCATGCATGATGAATGAGCCAAGGTTGCATGCTTGTTTCAAGTGTGATACAACCATTAATGATATCCAAACAATTCTGAAATCATGCAGGCATGAGCATAGGCTTTGATCACAATGCCATGTCCTTGTCCATTATCCAAATGGGTAACTTCTTTTCATCCTGTTAAAAAGAGACTTATCTTTGGTAACAAGTCACCAATCAAAGCCTTCTATGAATGGCCTCAAAAGTTCCTGTTCTATGTGAGGATTTTTGAAAAATCCAGTGATCTCTGCACCAACTCATGGCATGTTATAACTAATCCCAATTCGAAATTGGAAATATTTTCCCCCTTAAACTTTTGTATACAAGGTTATCAAAGCGATTCAAATAGTGACCAAATTAATTTTTAAATAATGGATCATGAATCATATCAAACCATAGGATTTGGTGATATAGTTAAAAAAAATGGTTTAAAATATATTATATAGATGACTTATAGTGCTCAACGTAATAATTTTCAACTACAAATAGACAAAACATCTTTCCCATGTCTTGCAAAACAAAATCATGTCATAACTACATATGTGAAATCTGTATTTTAGAAGAATGAAAGCTGAGTGATTAATGGAACAGAAAAATAGTGTGCATAGAATGAGTGAGTGACTGAAATTTTTGCTTTAGAAGAATGTAAACAGAGCAGTGAATGAGTCAAATAATGTAGGGTGCATTCTGTAGAGTTCCTTCAGCTCCTGTTCATTTTAACCATTTAATCTTATTAGTATAACTTTTTTTTTTTTAATTCTTTTGAAGATAATTGATGAAAACAAAGCAATAAAGAAAATAACAAATTGCTGAGTTGTGTGATTCGTTGGTGATATGAAATTGTACCAGTTCATCCAAGTATCACACAATTCAAAACCATTTTCAATTCATCACATGATACAAATCTCTAGATTGGAAAATTGCATCAAATTGTGTGTGATTGTTATAAGCTACAAAATGGTTAATTCCTTATTTGTGTATGTTCCAATTGTTTATATATTTGTTGAGCATGATTTTGAAAAGTTGTATTTTAGATGGGATAGTAGTAGAATATTAGCAATAATGTTGCAGTGTGTATCACATACTGCTGTGACATTTCAGGTTCAAATGCAATTGTGTTGCATACTGGTCCGGATTATGTCCCACCAGTTTCTTATCAAGATCATGGGACAGCTGCAGTGCTACAGGTTGACCAGGAAGGGGTTTCAAATGCAATTGTGTTGCATCCTGGTCTGGATTGTGTCCCACCAGTATCTGATCATGATCATGGGATGCCTGCAGTGCTACAGGTTGACCAGGAAGGGGTTTCAAATGCAATAATTTTACATCCTGGTCCAGATTGTGTCCCACCAATATCTGAGCATGATAATGGGACTCCTGCAGTGCCACAAGTTGACAAGAGAAGCAAGTTAATAGTTGAGCGCCGTGACCCAAAAATGTACGTCCTTAATCTTTTCTCTGTCCTTGGAAAATTAAAACTTTGTACATCCAGGAAAGATATGACATATTTTAATACAAGGATGAGAATTATGTACTATTTGTATCTTTGAGGAGTATTAGTGATGTTTTAATAATATTTTTTTAACAAAAACTAAGAAACTTAATAAAAAATTTAAAGAAATAAAATATCACATATTTGAATGTGATTATGAGATATTTTAATACAAGGATGAGAATTATTTACTATTTGTATCTTTGAGGAGTATTAGTGATGTTTTAATAATATTTTTTAAAAAAAACTAAAAAACTTATTAAAAAATTTAAAGAGATAAAATATCACATATTTGAATGTGATTTTTTTTTATTGTAACAGAGAACAACGTAATATTTTTTATATGATTTTTTTAGGAGAAAAATGTGATTTACTCAATTACTCCTACATTTATATGAAAAATCATATATTTAATAAACATGCATTACATTTATTAAATTATAAAATATAATATTTTGGTATGTACAATAATAACAATAAAGTTAGAATTTGTATATATTTGTGTGAAACTTGTTAATTTTGATAAAAACAAAATTTAAGTACTTTATTATAGATATTTTTAATGTTATTCTCCAATTAGAAATGGATACATAAATATATATTAATAAGATTAATATTATATATAAATATATATAATCGATGTAAAACTTTAATTTTAATCAGAGAATAATACTAATGATACCTAAGTTTTGTCTTTTTAATAAATATATTATCATAAGTACCACGCACCCTCCAGTACCTAGTCAAAGACTACATCTCTAACTAGATACCTTACTCAAATTGGTCATTCAACCATGACATGGATTGACTACTTCCATGTCGCCCACACAGTACTAAGGGATTCAACTTTAAAATAACTTTCAACTTATCTCCTTAGTACTATGTATCTTAACATAGGACATATATCTTCACCATATGTTCCCAAATTTTCAACTTTACAATAATAGACACCATAACAACTTTACAACAATAAACATCTGGCCGCTTGTAATCGGTATAGCTCAGCCTGGCCTCTATATCGTGGTCTCTTTATACACGTGTGCCTCGACCTTGCCCACACACGGGATCAACTAAGTCCTAGAGGAGAACAACACAACATCCACTCCAAGGGACAACTTCCCAAGAAGGGTTTTCAACAAATTGGGCTCTCAGAGTACCACAACTATCTCAATCCGCACAATGGAATGAGCAACTTTGAAAACATCTCCTCTAGACTTAGTGATCAACAACTTATCATCACAGCATAATCAACTTACAACTCGACAGCACAACTCAACTCAACAACTTAAACAACGTACAACTTTTCAACTCATCATCTTAATCAACTTTCAACTTAAACAACATGGTATATCAGCACAACAACTCATCAACGTTGTTTAACAACACATTTTAACAATACATCTCATTTCAACTTTAAACAGCACAATCAACTCAATCATCATAAAATAATATCTTTTCAACACATGGCACAACATACAAATCTATAGCAACATACAACTCTTCTCTAACAACTTAACAATATAGTTTACTAATAACATCTATATAAATCACACATATCTACATACTTCACATCATGCTTCTCACAACTCACAATATTATCATCATACACTTCACAACATATGCATTTCCACACATAACATATAGCAACTTTATCAACTTAATTTCAACATGCTTCAACAATATCATAGATCAACACACAACATGTAAACAATTTCACTATACTCAACATGCATCTCTTCATTTCACTTTCTACTCATCATACATCCAAACAACATACAATCTAGCTTCCCTTACCTGCAGATTGGCTCAAACTAGCCAAGAACTGAGAATAAGTAGATTTTTCTTTTCCGAAGCTCAACCCAGAACTTCAATCCACCCAAAGCACGCTTCCTAGTCCAGAGTCCTTCTCTCTAAAACTTCTCTCTAAAAACCTCAATTTTCCTCAACTGCCCACAACCTCTATTTATAGAAGTCTGAACTGGCCAGAACGTCCTGTTCCAAATCCAGAATGGCCCGTTCTAGGCTCTTTCATCATGTGTAAAATTCACATGCAGAATGGCCCATTCTGAAACTAGAGCGGCCCGTTCTGGCACATCTAGAACGACCTGTTCTAAAACCAGATGACCCGTTCTGGAGTTGAATTTTAACTCACAAAGATTGGTCAAATATCACCTCTTCCATCACTACCATTAAAATCCGTTTTACTAGTTCCTGGATGTCCCTTTAATTTGATCTCTATAAGTAAGTTAACTCGGTCACTAAACTGTGTCATAACCTTCACTTCTGATTCTTTCTTGATACAAGACGGGAGTACGGGACAGACGATGGGAGCCGGATCTGAATCACATGGTCTCTACTACCTTCAGCGGTCTACCTCTACCATATGTGCATCTATTGAGTCTCCTGGTTTAATCCACCGTCGCCTGGGTCATCCAAGCTTGAATAAATTAAAAAAAATGGTACCTCATCTCTCACTGTTAGAGTCTTTAGAGTGTGAGTCGTGTCAATTAGGAAAGCATGTTAGAGCTTCTTTTCCTAATAGTGTTAATAGTAGAGCTATGTGTCTTAAAATATCACATATTTGAATGTGATTATGAGATATTTTAATACAAGGATGAGAATTATTTACTATTTGTATCTTTGAGGAGTATTAGTGATGTTTTAATAATATTTTTTAAAAAAAACTACAAGATTGAGTTTGGCGATAACACAAGCACCACATCTCCTTTCCTAACCTCAAGTCCATGGAACAAAGCTGATGCAAGAGAGTAAATAGATTGTCTTAGCTCAGCATAGCTTACACTCCTATTAGTACTCGAATCAATGAATGCAATTCTTGCCTCAGCAAGGCCTGCTTGTGGAAACTGTGACAGCACAAAATTGGCAGTGTTGAGGTCAAGCTTTGTTGGGAGTTCATGCTTGGTGTCAAGCTTAACTAGAGAGTGATAAATGCCTGTTCTTGAATCGTAGCCACTCTTGTTACCAAATGGAGGCTGAGGTTTGTTATACTCTTCTTCATTTGATGACCAAACTTCCTCTCCTGACATTTTCTGCAAGTTTGATGGACTTGTTAATGCTAAGTTAATGGTTTGAGGCTGAGACAAAATGTGTGTGAAGTGTGAACCATAACCAACATAAATATATATATACAAGGCTTGTCCTCGTGAAGTACTAGGAGAAACATTGTTAACTATGTCGGTTGTAGCTAGCAAGGACAAAATAAATAAGAAAATTAGATTTTGTTTTCAGAATTTTATGTTGCCGGCCCAGAGAGTGAAGTGAAACATGCTAGTCATAGTTAATTAGTTATTGGTTAAGTAGCTAAACGATATATACTTGAAGCTCTGTGTGGAGGACAAGATAAATAATTGAGAATTGAATATTGGTTTCCTAAATAATTGAATATTGTGTTTGAAAGGATGCAGATGTTGTCTGGCTAATTTTATAAGAATTGCTCTGTGCAAATATAAGGTGAATATTCTTTTCCTCAATACAAGAATGAACATGTTGCCTACCTAATGGTTTACATTCTTATATATGCATACCTTTTATTTACATGGTTATAGTTACTTTATCTATCTACTTGTCATCTAATTAAACATAGATGATGCATCGGAAACATCTAAAATCTAAATGAGACAATTAGCCACTCTTGTTACCAAATGGAGGCTGAGGTTTGTTATACTCTTCTTCATTTGATGACCAAACTTCCTCTCCTGACATTTTCTGCAAGTTTGATG